CTCAAGAATCCCTCAAAATCTTCTTTAGTTTGCTTTATTTGCTTATTTATTAATGTTTTGATATAGTATTAATATATTTTGGAATATTACAAAAGATCTAATAAACTAAATATAACTTTCCTTTTTAAGCAGATGTTGCAGAAAAGCAACAAAGTCTGCAAATTAAAGTGTTTCTGTAAAACAAACATGAGAAGAGACAGAGGGTGACGGTTGAGAACAATGTGTTGAGAAAAACCATGGAAAGAAACTATCGTTTGGTTTAATGCGAACAGTGGATACGTGACACCTTTGCCACGTATGTAAAAAAAAAGGGTATAAAAATTGATCGAATTTCTGGTAATTGCAGTCAGTTGGTACAATTTTTTTGTTGACTATGTCTTATGTTGCTGTTGCTGTTGCTGCTTGCTAAAGACATGAGTTTATAAAAAATATTGCTTTAGTTTTTGTTACTCTGACGTCATTCTGAACGGATGTCATTATTTTTGCTTTCCTTTAAGCGTAAATGAGCTGTAAATAGGATTTCAACAACATGTTGACAAACGGACTGTGATAACACACATTCATCTTTTATATAAGTATATACCATGTTGCCTTCGATATACATACATTTGTGAGTGTTGCAAACGGAATGCTTAAATTAAGACACTTCCAGTTTGTGTACAGAGCATAAAAGCATCTACCGGTTTTCCGTCAAGCCCTTGTATGGCGGCAAGCAAAGCGCATAGACGGCCGGCCATATGACAAACTCTTACTTACTTACTTGCTAATTCTTTGTCGTAACTCTTAAAGTGGGCTAAGCTGAAATACTTCAAAGAAAGTGAAACGTAAAACGTGCACACAAAGTTAACGTTAATAAAGTCATAAAGTTGTACAGAAATGTATTTAAGAAATTTTACAAAAGCCACTTAAAAACGGGGCGGGAAGTAATTTTGTTCAGTTCGCGTCGACTCAATATGTGAACACTTATCGTTTTCCTAAGAATTCGTCCTATCGGAATAGCATCGATTTGAAGGAGTTTTGATCATAGTCATCAGATCATCATAAAATATATGTGATTTATCTATTGGACCTAAGGGCAGTGGCGGCGGCAATTGATTAGAACCGGTATCAAGGAATTATTTACGGAGTGAATATATAACTTTTGAGGTGGGATTATTACCTAAGTTGCTATAATGGATGCCAATTAACATTTCGTTTCGATCCTATGGAATTGTCCGCCCATTTAGCCTATTTTCACAATCAATTCGATAAATTGATTAACTTTTAAAAATATATACATAACTGCCAAGGTTTCAACTCTCTGCCTACAATTCTTCAAAATATCGAAAGAATGCATTTAATTGCATCAGGCGGATCGTAAAAATATATATATATATATATTTACTTCAAGGTGTAAATAAATTGAAAAATTAGTGTATTCTCTTATTCGATGTTTTATTCCCTTTGCTTAACAATTCTTTTGAAATTTTCCAGATCTCAGAGTATACTCTGAAGTTATTTCAGATATGAACATAAAAACATCGATGCATTACTTATATGAATTGACATAAATTGTTTTTCCATCAGTTTTAAATGCATTTCAATTAATTTGCGAGAAAATTGCAAACAAAAAAAAAAAAACAAAAAAAAAAAAAGAAGCAAATAAGAAAAGAAGACGACCGAATCGAAATGCTTTCAATGAATTATTGGAAAATCATAAATTTTATTTAAAAAACATTTAAATAATGTCAGAAATACCTTAAGCGGAAAACAAGCTGGAAAGCAAAATTCCTTCAATTTAAAGCAATAAAATTTCAATTAACATTTATTGATATTTTATAAGCAATGTTTAACGCATTGGAGAAATGAGAGAGAGAGAGGGAGAGAGAGAGAGAGAGAGAGAGAGAGAGAGAGAGA